TACAGCTTGTTTTGATTTGGTTTAATGTTAAACCACAAGATTTGTGGATTGACACACGAGAGACTAGGGCATAGAAAGTTATAGGCTTGGTATTATAGATAGAAAGAGGATAGAAACAGTGGAAGCTAGAGCTAGTTGACTAACAATAGTCGTGATTAAAGGATCACGTCTATGATCAAACACGTCTATTGTTGGCCAAATAGCTTTAGTCTCCACCGCGTCTTTCCTGTTTCTATCTATAATACCATCACTATCAGTTCCTATGTCCTAGTCTCTTGTTCGCCAAACCACAAATGTCGTGGTTCTACTTGTTTTGATAAGGCTCATTGAACACGTTTCCTCTTTGCTTCTTATTCTTTCTTTCTCATCCCCTTGCGATCTTTTTTTCTAAAATTAAGGATATTACCTTATTCCAGTCTTCTATTTTGCTGATCTTCCTGTTGCCTAGTCTTCTCCTAGTTTGTTTAGGCAATATGCAAAGTTTTTGCTGGTCCTGCTTTATTCAAGTCTCCTGTTCATTCAATTTTTCTTATTCATTATATCAATGGCTTCTCGAATCTTGCGTTTTCTCGCATTTTCACCATATGCAGCCAACCTTTCGGTCGATTTCTAGTCAATTTCGTGCTCCGTCCGTGCAATGTGTTCCACTATTTCTTATCTTTGTGTTTCCATGTTCCTGCAGACTCTTTGATGGTTCTTGATTCTTAGGCCGATTTTCTTCCTGTTTCACCGATATACTTCTGCTCACATTTGCCGCATTTGATGCGATAAACTCCAGAACACTCAAGTTTATCCGTCTTCTCGTGTTGCGTTGGCAGACCGGTAAAAAGTGTTTTCTTCTCCTTTGTTATCACCTTGCTATTCCATTTTCCTAATAAAGGTCTCAATTATTGGCTCAGTTGTGATTAGGGCAAGCAAATCCACTTTTGGTTGTTATCCTCATTCCTGATAAGATTTTCATAAAATCTAAGTTGAAATCGGCCCTTTAGAACCTCTACATTTTTATCGATCAATTCTCTGAGGTATCCATTACTTAGACAAATCCGTATCAGATTGTCCAACTCCTCGTCCCAGAACGTTTTGTTTGTTAGTCGTAAGCTTCTGATCAGTATTCCGATCTTCAGTCTGTAATTATGGTGAGACTGACAATTAAGGATTATTCCTGCATTTAAATTCTTTCTGTATAGTTTCCTCATGAATGTCCCTCTGGAGCGTATGACTTCAAAATCCAGAAAGGGTAGTCGTTAATCTTTCTCCACCTCCATTGTAAATTTAATTATTTCATCAAGTTCGTTAATGAAATTGAGGAATTCACTTACCATGTGACCAAAGTGCAAAGTAGTCATCCAAGTATCGCATAAGTACTCTTGGTTGCAGTGGTGACTTCTCGAATTCCCTTTCCAACTTGTCCATGTACACATTTGCCAAAATAGGTGAGAGTGGAGATCCCATCGGTAGTCCAAATAGTTGCTCGCAGATACTGCCGTTAAATGCAAAATATGTGGTCCCTGTCAGGGTGATCAGTCTTGTTAACGATTCTTTCCATATCCATTCTTCCTCCAGGATGTCCTCTTCTCGCTCCAATATCTCCAGCAAAGCACTTACCGCCTTCTCGCCTGAGATTTTTGTGTACATGGATTTTACATCGAAACCCACCAACAGCTCTGACCCAACCAACCCAATGTTCTGGATCCTTTGATAAAATTCATATGAATTCTTGACGGTATTCGAGAGTCTGTCATTTA